CCCCCAAAAAAAAAATCGTTCGTCCCATGTTTATGTCTCTTTGCATTTCTCTCTTACTTTCCTGAAACTTGGTTCTGTAAAAAGAAAAAGAATAAAAATCCCTCCTGGTGGCCAACTGGTGGTCATATTTCCCCCCTGTGTCTGACACTGTGGCCACAGCAGCACCTGTTAGTGAACGTGTGTGGCTCTCCCTGGGCTGCATGCGAGAGTGAGTGCTCACCGCTCGTTTGGTTAATGTTAGTTTTGTTGGGCCCGATTCCTGAACGACTGAGCAGTTTTGTTGCCGTAGGCGCGTACGGAAAGCCAACAAGCCGTGCCAGATGCAGATGGGAAATGAAGCATAAAATCTCTGAAAAAGCGACTGGCCAATGAAGTGGTCACATTCTCTTCCCTAATAGGTTTCTCTTTCGTGGGCGAGCGAGTCGTGTGCGTACACAAGCTGGTTTAGCGTGAAACGATCCATTTCATGAACGTCCCGGGAGAGTGAGGCTCATGGAAGTGGTAATATTGTTGGGGTCTCGGTCGCCATCTCTATCCCATAAGCTTTCCCGTTATTGTGTTTGTTATTGATGCTGTGTTTGTCGTTGAAGCTACGGCAAACTCTCTGTAATCGGGGGCGTTTGTTGATGTGTCTGTAGATGTGTTTGTTGGTGTGTTGGTTGGTGTTGTCCATCGCAGGAGGTCGCAAGGCTCCACTTAATTTGTATGTTTTAACTCTTTTCTTTCTCGTTGTTTCTGCCTAGCTTGCTTTTTTCCCTGCCCTAAATGACAGCTATCGGATAAAGTGCTTGTCTTTACTTATTTATACACGTATCAAAATATATCTTGTGCATCCACTTTTGGAAATGGCAATAGAGACGGTGTCAACGGTAGAAAGCAGGTTTCTTTTGACAAGTATAAAAGCATTACGATAAAAACAAATCCCAACCTACTCCATCAACAGAAATTACTACGTCAGCATTATAAATTCAAGGAACTACCGCAAACCGTAATGTTTGTGACATTCAATTCAATTTTTTTTTTAATGTTATATTATATGTCCCACAGAGTTTTACACTTACTTAACCTATCCCTTAGTGGTACTGCGGCAAAAAGGAGAGGGAAAAAAATAAACAAATACATGAATAAGGTTGAAAACAATCGTGTCTTTAAGTCCACAATGAAAGGTGCAAATATTTTAAGGATGGAGACATGTTAAAAAATACCACGGGTCTTTTTCTGAGGCAAATCTGGTACCGTACATGTATACAACAGCAGTGTACCTTCCTGGCAGCAACAGCCACGACATGTCTAGAGACTTCAAAACCTCGTGCTGAATAACACATGAGCTCAGCGGACACAAGCGTACAAAAAAGCCAGTGGTTAGCTCTATCGATCAGGTTCGGGCACGCGACTCAATGCAGTAATGACAGGGTACATTCCATGCTTACTACAGTAATCAGCAATGAGTCCGTCTAGAACCAGTAAGGACTCTGTAAATCAAAGTCCTAATAACGTCATATCTCTCTTTGAGTTCCAGAGGTTTGATACGTATAGCTTTTGTTGAGATTATGGTGTTGGAAATGGTTTTTTGTGCTGTAATCTCATCTTCTTCGCTACACTTAATGTTATACGAGTCCGTAATTGGGGGTGTATTATTATGTATAAAGAATGCAAAAGCATCTTGGCTTGATAATGCTGCAAACTCCTGGGTGGCAGGTGATGTGTTGGATCATATCATGTGGTATGCTCCTTATAGTCCTTTTAAGAAAAAATGTTGCCCTTACGATTAAACAAAGAGAGTGTTAAGTACTACTACTTACAACAGTAGCAGCGACAACCACAACAGATGCATAGAACTCTCCTGTCTTCTCATCTCTCTCTCTCTCTCTCTCTCTCTCTCTCTCTCTCTCTCTCTCTCTCTCT